CCTTCGCTGTCAGGGGATTAAAAGGCAAACCTACAGCAAGCTCTGCTGCTTGTGAAAAACACTCCTGCCTGCTCTCTTAGGCACGGCTGCACAAAACTCTTTCCAAGGCTTGCAGAAAAATCTTTTAACAAAAATGCCAGGCTATTTCAGCAGAAGGCAATCGAGTGCAAAATGCTTTTTGAGCATGCTGGCACCTCCGGCAGAGCCCATCCCACTCCCGTCACCTCCTTAGGCTCTTGCACAGCAGCACACTGTGATGGGGGACAGCAACATCCCAGACAGGCAAGTCCTCAAGTATCAGAGTTGAGAGAAAATTCAAAAGCAAAATGAACAGGAGGAAAAAAGATATAGGGACAGGCTCTGCCAGAGCGCCTCTCATTCTCTGCAGCGTGTTTCCCAGCTGAGGCATGCACTCAGTGCTTGCTTGCCAGGAGCAGCCGGCTCCTAGCCTGAAGGCTGATAATTTGCCACCAGAAGGCTTTTTAAAGGAGTCTCAGGGAGCATCCTTCCCTTTCTCCAGCATTACAGGTGGAGCCACTCATGCCTTTGGAAAGTCTTGGTGAGACTGGCATGGGCACCCATGCTGTGCTGCTGTCCCATTGCCCTAGCTTTGGAGAACACAGCCACCTATGCAGTGGGAGAGGCACAAAAGGTGGGCATTCATGCTTTCCCTGCTCCAGCCATCTCAGCACCACGTGAGTTACAGAGCCTGCAAGGGGATACTTTAACATCCATGCTGATAAGCACAAGCAATTACCTTTTTTTTTCCTTTTTCTTCTTGCTTAAGAGAAGATGAAGTGAGGTGCGGGTGACATGAATCGACAAGCTCGAGTGCTCTCAGAAAGTGTCAGCGCTCAGCATCAGGGGCACATCAGCATCCAGAGCACCAGTAGCATCTTCCTCGAGTCCTGCCCTCCAGTCAGCCAGGGAAAGCCTTTCCCCCATCACCCTCGCCACCCCATGAGTTATCACCCAGTTTGCCACCCCGTGGGATGGATGACTGTCAGGGAAGCCCTGCTAAAGCCCACATCGTGGGGATTCATTATCGGGAGGTGAGCTTAGCCTGTAAGCATGGAGGAGAATAAAATAACTCATCCTAGGTCCTGTGAAAAGCCATGCCCAAGCAGAGCTTTATAAAGGAGACTAAATGTAACGTAATTAAATCCAGGAAATGTGCTGTGAAAAGCGATGTGGTAACAAGAGCATTAGTTAGGATGTGTGGCATCAGTCATAGCCTTGTTTTTCTCATTAAAAGCAGAAGTTTCATTAAAAGAGAGGTTTTCATCCCACGTAAGCCAAGTTCTCAGCAAGAAGCGAGAGGAAGGTGGGGCGCTGCATGGTGGCCAAAGCTGTTGACTTGGCTGTGCTGGAACAGCAGCTTTTGCCTTGCCTCTGGTTGCATCTCTTGCCTCCGGTTGCATCTGCTTGACCTTAACACTGCACAAGGTAGTGGGAGTTTTTTTAGGGTTTTTTGCATTTCCTTAGTTGTAAGATGTGAGTTTGCTGGCTAAACACACGTGGGAACATCTGTAAACACTTATGCATGTGAATAAAAAAATCACTCTTGAATTAACAAGGAGCCTTGTATGGATAAATGAGAGAAGAAGCAAAAGCCATGATCTTGCTGAGACTGATCATTAGTCTCCTCTAATTAGTCATTTTTTCCATGGGCTTGTCTATCTAGCCAGCAAAGCGCACAGGCTCTGAACCGTCACAGCCATTTGGAGAAATCCCATGGACTGCTCTGGCTGTATCAGCCTTTGCCACGTAGTGTCAGGTTCGGTTTGCTCCAGCTATGAATGTGTCATAGTTCCCATGATAAACTTTTTTTTATGGGTTTATAACGTAGTTATAAAAATTCGCTCGGGGCCATGCTTGACAAACAAGATCTCATCTCAGGAGTGATCCTGTTTTAACCAAATTTCTCCAGGCATCATCACAGATCCTGTTGGGGTGGAGTAACAAAAAAAAAGACACGGTACAAGCTGGCTGTGGAGCTGGGGCAGGACTGCTTTGGCTTTCAGAAGGCGGCAGCAGCTAAGCAAGGGAAAAACCCGTGGAGAAACAAGTTAAGGCACCTTCCCTGGCCTTGCAAGAGCTGAAGTGCAGGTGGCTCCCAGTGAGGGCAATTAAACGCAGCCCCCATTCTACCAAGGATGCTCTTGCTGGCGTCTCTGGTGACAGGAGGGAGGAGAGCAGCAGCAAGGAGCCAAGACCTTGGAAAGTGAAGCCGTCTGTGTGTGAGTGCCCCCGGGGGCCCAGCAGCATGGGCACAAGGCGCTGCTTGCTCCACACATCACCCAAAAAGACGCAGGGCAAAAGCCCGATGCAGCCGTCCTCTGCCTTTTTCTTCACTTTGTCACTTCAAGAGCTGCTGGAAAAGCCCGTAAGCTTTTCCCTGAGGCGCCAGGGGCTTCTTGCAGGAGGGCATCCCTGTGGCACCCTCATGCCCAGCCTTGGCACTGTGGGAATGTGCTGCTTGCTGCCAGCACCTGGGGAATAGGTTGAGAGCATGGGCACGCACCCTCAGGAGGAGGAAACTGTTTCTTTCCACAGTGACCGAAGTGGCATGATCTGCGTTTAACAGACCTGTGGCTGCATACTGCCCTTCAGCTGGAAGAAAACAGGGCTGGGGGAAGGAAGGCAGGGGCCATATCAGCTCCAACCAACTAAACATATGCACGCATGTGCATGCATGAAAAACACATGCATGCTACCCCACCCACGTGCATGCATGCACCCATGCTTGCACCCACCCACCCCTGTGCATGCATGTACCCGCACATGCACACAGACATGCACACACACGCGCATCCCCCCATGCACGTGTGCACACACATCCCCCATGCACTCATGCACAGAGACACCCAGCCAGACCCAGTGCTGCTGGCCGCACTCTCCATAAATTAAATGCCTTTTTGCTGCCTTTAAGGGCTACTTCTTGAGCTGCCTGTTGCAGCCACAAGACACTAAATAGCCTTTGCAGCAGCCCTGTATAGACCTTGCATTGCAGCCTGAGCACCCACTGAAGCCACCCACTGTCCGGGGACGACACCAGTGGGGTGGCACTCAGGGGTGGCACTCGGAGACCCCAGAAGACGCTTGGCAAAAACTGCCCAAGCGGCTCCATGCCCACGCAGGTGAAGCATGGGCCGGCTGCTGCCTGAAAGGCAAGAGCTAGCAAGTAAATCCAAATTTATTGTTAAATCGCTGGATATAAAAATAATCTGGCTTTTAGAAAGCAATTTATTTATGCTTTCAGTACTTGCTTAAATATTTATGTGGAAAAAGAAAAAAAAATCCACTCTGACACAGGACTATCATTGTAGCAATGGCCTTTAAGATTAATGGAAGCAAATTAGCCTGACGTTTTATTTACATCCAGCAAAGCAATAGATAAACTCTCTTCATGATGGATTTTCTTCATTAGTTGGGCGAACGCCTAAGGTACAGCTTTTGACATTGTTTCTTCCAAGTGGCTAGACAAACAGTTTATCAAAAGAGTATAAAATTGTCAGGAAACGAAGCAGATTAATGACCAGTAAAGGGAAGATCATTGAATTTATGATATAAGTAGCAGTATCACTGGAGCCTGAGGAATGGCTTATCAGATAACCGACATGTACACGCATGCAGGAGCACTGAGCCCCCCTGGAGACACAGCCCCGGCAGCAGCTGCTCCCCAAATCATCCCTTCATGGGGATCTCTGCATTGAGGCTTCACCTCCCTCCTCCTTCCCTCCCCTTAGATCTGGGCTTATTCTGTAACTTTCTCATTAGAGCTTGTAAACATATTATTTCTTCCCAATTAAAAACCTCTTAGACTGGAACGGCTTCAGGAACGATAACCTTGTCTTCGTGTCTGTGCAGCAACAACGGTTTCCACAACTGAATTTGGCAATTTTGGTTGCTATTACAGCAGTGATAATCATACTAACAACAACAACAATAATATATAGGACTTCTCCAGCCTTTTGATTCTTTGGAAAAAATCCCCCAGCATCAGCAGTTTATGGATCCCATATGGCTCCTCCAGCAATTACCTGTGGAATGATAATTAGCTGTCAGATAAAGCAAATGAGGGAAAGGAGACTGGGACCCTAGGGGAAAAGAAACATTTCTTGTGATGGCAGAGGGGCTGCGCCTGCAGGTGTCCGAGGTCTGTGCCCCCC